GAAAATGTCGGACTTCTGTTCCGTTTACTATGGGGGAATGATCATTGAACGATCAGAATAGGATTTTTGTTGTTTATTCATTTTATTTATGTACATATTTATGTACAGTAAGCTAACAGTTTCTGTTGTCGTTACTACTTATCAGGTATTAATTATTAGATGCCGATCTTTTTTCTTCATTTATTACTGGTTATGATTACGGCATTTATACTTATCAGTTATTTTTCCTATGGATTTTTATTTTTTTTTCCATTTTTATGAGTAATATTTAAATTTTAGTCCAATATTTTGTCTTAAATTTTAAATGCTTTAACGTAAAGTACTTGGACTGTTAAACTATTGTGTCTTTCTTTTTTTTTGTTTCATTTTAAAAAATATTCAGAGAGTTTTCTTATTATTCTAATTTGTATCTCTAATTTTTCTCCTTAACTAAATTTCTCTTATTTTTGCTTATATTTATAAAATGTATAGCAGATGTTATTTTTTTCTTTAATTTCAAAATATTATCCATGCAGTGATTATGTTACAACATCCTATCAAAATATATTCCAGATAGAGTGATCTTCATCAATTATTTACAATCTTTTTTTTTTTATTTAAGAATATTTGAGTTCCCTTTCATTTTTTATATACCAAACTAAAAAATGTTGCAATTGCAAAATGTTCGCAATTTCATCAACGATAATATACAGTATTCATTTATATGTATTTGTTTCCTATCCTAATATTCTTTTTTGGTTACTTCAAACTTAAAACATGTTTAAATATAATCTCGAACAATTTGCACATGTAAAGACACACTTGCTTATTTCATCGTTATAAAAAGTAGCTGGTAGATAATTATCCAAAATTATAAATAAATCAAAAAATTGATTATTCACAAAAAGAGTAACAAATATAAATAATTATGGCAATACAAAAAAAGACACTTGTAGTACAAATTAACAAATTGCATTGCATTGAAAAAAAGTCTTCAAACTGTTGAAATTTAATTAGCAACAATGAAGTAAATAATACAAACAAAAATTTTGATTAGAAAAAAGCGGAAGTTTTTGAATGCTTTATTTTCCCAAGAAATTAATATTCGGATAACTTTATTACATTCAAGTTTTAAGCAATAAGAATGAATAAAAACGAGTCAAAATTAAGACGTAAATAAGAGATAGTGTATTAGGTTATCAGGTCTTTCATCAATTTAAATGAATTTCATATTGAACAGGAACAGGAAGTTCGTAGTTATGATTTCGCAAGGAATTAAATTTTGTTACAACGTTTTTGTTTTGATATATTCAGCCAAATTTTTAATTACTGACAATTAATTTACATTCAGCAATTTATCAATGAAAAAAAAACAAAAAAAACAAAAAAAACAAATATCTCGTCTAAGTTATTTCTGGTTTTAGTCGAAAGTTTTTCATGAATAAACGATTTTTTTTTCTTTTTTAATATTTCTAAAGGTATTTATTTTGGAGAGAAAAACTAATGCAAAGCATACTTTTAAATTTTATACAATTTAAATTTTGTTTCATCAAGTGAAAAAAATGGATTACATAATTTGCTATCATAAAATGTTAGAATGTAAAGTGCCTATCATTATAAAATATCAATCGTCCATTACAAAAAGCAATTGTTGAATGACTTCTGTGGAAAGAAATGATTCAAATAGTTGCTAATTAAAATTTTTCCTTCCTAACAAAGAAAAATGATTCAATAAACCTATTTGAGTTTTGAAATATGAAAGTAGTTCAATTAATTCATCAATATTTTACTGGTAAAAGAAAATTTTTCAAAGCATTTGCTTTCTCATGCATAACATGTAATAAGCTGTATTGGCTTGCATGAAATAGCACATACTTATCCCGCATTATGCAGTTATATTCGAAAAGCGTGAAACTAAACAAAAGCATTCTTGGCATCATCGATTGAAAGTATTATCAAGAAGGTAATTGATGAGCATTATGTGCTGTCATACTTTTGTATTATTTTTAATTATTTTTGAGTGAATTATGTTTAAGTGTATCTTTTTTTTGCTAATTGCATTTTATTAATTATGTCATTTTTTTTTCAAAACTCCTTTTTTTGGTAAAAGTTGAGATTTACAACTTCATTTCTCTAATTTATATTAAAATTTTCTGCTTTAATTTTATTACCATTGTTTACTAATCCAATTAGATGAAAGTAAATATTTTTCGCTTCCTTATACCATAAAAATTTATCTTATTTTGTTATTTTGACTAATGTTTCTGGAAATTACAATTTCTGACTTATCTGTATTGACTTTTTTGCTCTTTCTCTTATTTTTATGGTTCATTTAATTATGTTCTAAAGAATTACGATGATTCGATTTATTGCTTTTCTGTAGGGGGGGGGGGGGGTTTTAACTAATTCTTAACAAGCTATTTAGGTTTCATTTAAAATTTATATCTTTTTATTCAAAATTGACCACAATTTTTCATATTTTTTACTGCATTTGTTTTGATAGTACTCTTTAATATTTTGCCGCCATTCATTACTTTTTTTCCAAACATTAATAATTTGGTAAAAAAGTTGAAAAAATTGTGATGTTGTTTTTAAAAATCCATGTTTTGCACTTATTTTATTTGCAATTTTGTTGTCGCTTTGTTTGACCTTTAAGACTTATATTTTTTATCTTCAATCAATAAGGGACTGATTTTGGAGAAAGAACTATGCTTAGATTATATATCATTAGTTTGATTATTACGATATGAGTAAGTTTTAGATTTTTCAGATGAAAGCTATTTCCTATTATTAATTTGTTAATTTTTTATTGCTTCCTTAATATCTAATTTGTGTAAAATGATTTTAACAAATATTTTTGCTGCTTGGAATTAAATTTTGCTTTGCTATCTAAGATGGATATAGTTTTAACTTCATTTTGTTTTATCTTATGTTTGCATGATAATATTCTGTTTTATTTATTTCACTAAAATATCCTACGCATTCATTTGCTAGAAGTGTACATTTTCGATTGTCATTAATAAGATGAAAAAAAAAGAATAGATATGAAGTTATCGTTTGTTTTGTATATTTTTTTTTCTCTTTTTTTTCCTAATTTTATGTCTAGTATTTGTTTAGTTAAGAAAATGAATGATGAATATGTTCTGATGCAGAATGACATGACATCAGCTAATTTGATCACAAATAAAGAGATCTCGAAACAACTGAAAGTGATCATTCACAATTCGGTCATCTCTTCACCCTTAAGGTCTCCTCCAAATTGATAGTATTAATCAGTTCCGGTTAAAGATTTGTTTTATCTCCGTTGTTTATTATCAGTTTATAGCTGCTATAATTTCATTTTGATTTTACTAATCTCTAGTATCATTAGCATGTGTTTTCTAGTAGATATGATATTCTCAAATATATGTCAGCATTGAATGATTCCATTTAAATTATCTTATGTTCAACAAGGAATCGTTCAGTTATTTCAATAATCTAATTCTAATCCTAGACAATTGACAAAAGCGATTAATTCTCAGTTTACTTAATGTTGTAATTATGTATGCTATTGTACAGTTGCAGAACTCTGTGTGTTCAGAATTGTTGGAATTTTTTATAGCAGATAAATCTTAACTCTATTGCAAATTTCCTGAATGAATACAGGAATTTTCTTCTTGGATTCACGTTTGCTTTATAAGAGATTTTAGAACCCGAGTACTAATTCAATGATTGGTCGTTTAATGGATATTTTGCATCGGTTTTATTTTTTCTTGTTCGATCGATTAATACTCTATCCACTGTTAAATTTGCTATGCAGTAAGCTTAATATACGATTCATGAATCTTGGATATCAGAGTAAGGAAGATGAGGATTTCCCAATCTTGGGAAAATTATTCGAAACGGACAATTGCTGTAAAGCTAATATCACACTTTACGAAAAAGCATTAAGTTTATGTCCTAAGTATCCCAATTTTGACGGATTACAGCTGCTCGAAGTTGGCTGCGGTCAAGGTGGTGGTATCGAATGGATCTTAAGGTTAATTGGATGAAATTTGCAAAAAAATATTTACAAGCACAAAAGTATTTGGGACCTTCCTTACTTTTCTTGAATTATAAAGTAACTATCCAAATAAAATTAACAACAGTAATTGTGAGGTGGAAATAATTTAGAGCAGAGCTCGAGCAAATATAATAGTGAACTTCCCAAACAAACGAGAACCTCAATATTAAAGTTACACAAATGATTATAAAATGGGTACCTAAATACTAAGTGACAAATAGACTACAATTACTCAGGTATTGAAAATTAATTGCAGGGCGCATTCATTTGCAGCTGTAAATGGCATTGACCCAATCATTGCGAATACATATTCCGGAAGAATTTTTAGGGGAAATGCGGAAAAATTGCCATTTGTCAATGATTCATTTGATATCATAATAAATATCGAAAGTAGTCACTTGTACGGCAATTGTCAGCAGTTTTTCCTGGAATGTTCCCGAGTTTTACGTGAAAATGGGTTTTTATGCTGGGCCGATCTTCGCTATACTCATCAGGTATCAAGCTAGTGGTGTCTTGTATTAAATCCTAATTTCCAAATATCTTATTTTCAGTTGAAGACAACCATGATTCAAGTACAAAGATCTGGTCTACAACTCATTACAATAGAAGATATCACAGAACAAGTACTACGAGGTATTGAATCAACAGCAGCAAGATACGATGCAATGCTTCAAAATGCACCCTACCTAATCCACATATTCCAAAACTCCATTCGAACTACATACTGCGCACCGGGAACGAAAAGTTACGAACGCCTTTTGAAACGTGAAAAAATGTACATTTGTGCGTGCTGGCAAAATTACAAGAAAATCAAATCTGATTAAATAAGTGAACCCAAATTTAATGATTTCCATATTTAACTGTCTTTTTCAAATGACTAAACATTATTAAGATTTTTTTTCCAAAAAAATTTAGTTATGGTGTCCAAAGTCTATTATTAGTAGAAGAAAAAGATTAACAAAAGTTAATACACATGACTTTATTTGCTATAGTCACTATCATCATCATCGTCGCCAGTATCATCATTGTCAGTTTCGGAATTCGATTCTGGCATATCAACTGATCGCTGTTTCGTTTCATCTGCTTCATTTTTCAGTGCTTTCAGATGAGCATTTTGATGAGCGATAATATCAGCACCATTTTTACATGCAGCATATGCATCCAGTAAATCTACATTTATTCTTAAAAAGTTCGGACCCCATTTGAATCTAGAAAGAAGCATCTGTGCATTGTTCTTCAGACCAATAATATACAGACCCGCTGCAAGTGCTTCGACACAACTCAGTTGGCATGGCTTCCCAAAATTCACCGGATTTGCAGCAACTAAGTACGGCAGAAGACGACGGTGCGAAGCTTTTGCTCTGCTTAAATCAACATTCCCAACCTGAAATAATAAAAATTTGCAGTTAAATAAGAACATATTTGTGTAGCCCCAAAAATTTTCTGAAGCCAAAATTTTACTCAAGTCGCTTCACATGCAAAACTTAACTAGAATTAACGATGAAAAAACAGAAACCTGATTCCAACTGCAGTCCACAACAGCAAGGCCGCCAGTTTTAATGTAAACGAGATCAGCAGGAGAAATTGTTCGTTCACCACCTGGAGAAAGCAGCAAACCAGGAAATTTGGTTCCCAGCTTTAAAACTTTGGTAAAGCCATAACGCAATAGCTTTTTTCCTGTACATCGCTTCGGATCACACTGTTTGAAATCAAACATTGCTGAAATTACAAAACTTATGAATTTTTAAAGCCAATGAAACCAACGGTTGGGACTTATTTTTCCATAGCCTATGTTATCTGAAAAATAAGCCCCAACAGACATTCTAATTTTTCTGAACAGCTACAACATCCTGATGATGGCAGGTGATAGAAGTGTATCTGCGCTTTGATCTGCACATTGATGAACGATACGCAAAACAAATATGAAATAAACTTTTCAATAAATATCAAATATTAAGCAAGAAATACTTTGTGGCTTACCTAAACTAAAGGGAAGTCCCCAAACTGCATCTTCCTCACTGTCAGAATCTTTTTCATTTGTGAGGTGTGGTGTTCGGCGACACATAGTATATTCCATTCCAGAAAACATCTCCTTATTTACGAATATCTAAATCTGAAGTACAATATACCGCTACACGTACGACATAAAAAGAATCAGACATAAAATGAATCAAATTTAAAAATCCAAAAGAGAGAAGGAATAAATATGGAAATTTAACCAGTGTTTGATTTATGAATGAAATAACGCAGAAACATTTATTATGTAACACCAAAAATAACAGTTATAAATATTCGCAATACATACATTGAGCTTAGTGTAAGTTCGCTTAACAGTATGGATCTACTCAATAAAATATTACAAACATGTGCACTAATCAAACAAATCAACAATAATGATCTACATCTACTGTATGGTAGATGCGTCATAAATGATTGGAATTCTACACTTGGGAAATTCATGTAAAAACATTCACGATCACCTCTGCCATTATATATAACAAATCCAACTATGACACATTCTTCGACATTAAATTACCGCAGTTACACCTTTCCTTCCACTTATCAACCATCAAAAATCATGGATTAGAAAAACTTCAAATGATGCACGCATAAACTACTCCTTCGCTAAATTTGGCAGCAAATCATTATTTTCGGGAATTATCTTCAGTCAGGGAACGTTAACACATAACTGAAAATATCATAGAGATAACAATAAAAGTGTAGATATCAAGTGAAATTTATCAAGGGGAGAATGAGAGGTCGTCAAAAAACACCAAAATCCCATAATTTGACGGTCATGTCATAAGAGCCTGATACAATTTGTTGATCACTGAATTGCACACATGTAACACCGTCGGTATGGCTATGAAGAGTACATAATCTTTCACCCGTATGCAAATTCCATACCTAAACTTTACAAGGTTACTGCACAAATTTGGATAAAGCAGAGCGTTAAAATTATTAAAATAATTTATCATCAAAAAAGCAGAGCATGCACCTTGATAGTTCGATCATCTGCTGCTGAGACAATTCTCCATGAGTCGACTTGAAGGCATCGAACTACACCTGTATGACCTTCACTTAATTTCCAATCTAATGTTTGCACACATTTTCCAGTTCGTAAATCCCACATCTTAAAAGTCATAAAATTCTTATCTCACCTTCAAAAAAAAAAAAAAAATTTCGAATACTCCAAGAAAACTTTTCATTCTTTCTGTTTTAAAAAACTGTGCTCGCCAGGAAGACTTTGACCTGACCCGCAGCGATTCTAGCTAGCAGTGATTCAAACTTGCGTATCCTGTCATTTTAAACAGAAGGAAGTTTCCTAGTTTTTGAAAAATGCGTGCTACGATAAAGTCAAGCTTCGACATGCATAGAATAGTAGTTGTTAGCATTCATTATGTCACTAAAGATGTGCAAGCAAATTTAAACACAAAAATTGAGAAAATCTAACCTTAATTGTTCGATCGACAGATCCTGATACAATTCTCTCATTATCAAATCGAAGACATGTTACCGCATTGTCATGTGCGTTGTGCAATGTCATTGCACAGATATCCATTCGCTCATCCCAGCACTTAAATAGTTGCTTTCACAGCAAGCATGGATTTTGCTCAGCATGGTAAATCTTATGCTAAAAACAGTGACAGAAAAAAAGGAATAATTTTCCATTGTTTTCATTTGTTATCAAATACTTTTCTCGAAATCAACTGCATTGCAATACTAATAAACTAACTTTCATCGACAGATCAGCCGAACCCGATACAAGCAAGTGTCCGTCGGATTGCATACAGATCACTGCTCCATTATGACCTCTAAAACTTATAAGGATACCAAATGAACAACTGCATTAAACCTAATTTCATGATAAAGTGAGATGATAAAAGTCATTTATAAACATGAACGGTTACATTCTGCACAATCAGGTTTTTTTTTGACAGATAACATCACTGTTAGGAGGTGTTATGATCTGATAACTTTGATGATTTGATTCATGTAAAACTTACATTAAAGTCTTCGTACACTGTCCTGTTTCAGTAGACCATATTTTCAAAGTATGATCATATGAACCACTGATCAATCGTTCCTTTTCCATCTAAACGAAATCCACCTTGAATGTCATAAGTGATATAATTTTCCTAGTTTCACAAAATATTAAAAAAAAAAAGTGCATATCGTTTTAAACAAAAATGAAGAAATTACCTGCAGGCACCGAACGAAATTCGTATGCCCGATCATTGTTTGACGACAAGCAATAGAAGACCATGTTCGATTTACAGCAAGACCCCAAACCTTCAAGATTTTTTCACTGTAATAAAGTTATTTCGTTAAAATCACGTCTTACTTGGTATTTTACTGGGTAGAACATACCTCGATTCCTAATCGATGTTGATCCAAAATGAAAATATCTTAAAATAACCAATAGTGATAATGTATTTAAAATCACTGTAGTTCAGAGATGACCATTAAAAAAATCTTGATCTTAAAAAAAAATGAAGTCCACTAACTTTGATAGTTAAATCATTGGAGCCAGAGGCAAGTCGATTACCACTTAAGTGCAAACAGCGAACGGTATCAGAATGGCCTGTCAATGTCATGGTACCTAAACCCGGCACAGCAGAACTCTTCATATCCCAAACACGAATGGTATTATCGCTGCTTCCCGACACAATACGATCACCGTCAAATTGAACGCAAGATATACCTAAGAGATGCTGTGCTACAATATTTCAGCTAGTAATTAAAAACAGTGCAGTTTGATGATAAGTTTTTACATAAGTTGACCATTTTAACACAATCTAATAAACTAACTGGTCTTACTTGATAATGTAAAGCCACCCGACCATCGATAAGCTTTAATTTGTTAATCAAAACAGTGTTACAATATAATTAATGATAATTTTAAGAATAAGGCGAAAAAATTACCTTGAGTGTGACCCTCAAATGTACGAATAACACAACGACCTGCATGCCAGTTCCTCCATAAACGATAACGCTCACTAAATGCTTCCTTCCACAGTACTACACCATCGCGTGTTGTGTGCTTCTTCAGTTGCTCATTTTCAGTTTCAGCTGAACACAGTCGAAACATGCGCTGAAGTGTGCATAGTCTTTTCCATAAGCATGGCGCCATACATAAATTTCTCCAAGCAGTACATACTAGCATGCATTTGCAAAGGGACTCTGTAATAAAATTAAAAATTTAAAGAAAAGAAATTCTCATTTCATAGATTTCTCTTCTGTTCAACGCAGTCTGGACATAACAGAAAGATGTAGAAGTAATAATCGTTAATATTACTGCACTATAACAGTGATCACAGAATCTCTAAGCAAAATAACAAATCTAAAAATATATTTTATATAATCAACAGAGGATAGATAGCAAGTATTGACAGTCTTCATCGGATAGATTAAAGTAATAATTGACACAATAATTTCACAATTGGTACAATAAATCTACTTTAAATCAAATGCATGACAATACCAATAGGTTACTATCGTAAACTTGCTTTAGAATATATGTATTAAATTACTCAAGCTAAAAGTTCTGATAATCACGTCAATCCCTTCTTCCTAATGCAAAATTTATTAGATTTTTTTTTATTCATCTTTTTATGACATTTACGTTTACTAGTATGCATTTTTTAAAAACATATTTTCGGTCATGATAGTAGTGAAAATATGATGAAATTCTCACTTGGATCCAAAAGGCGAAAAATCTTTAAAGCAACTGGCAGCGGAAGTGAACTAAACAAATCGATCTCTTCAGTGCTCACATTGCTGCGCATTTCTTCCAGCAACGAAGTTGCATACTCCAAATTTGATGGATCACAGACATTCTGGAAAATATGTTAAGGACGATGTTAGTAATTAAATTAAATAAAAGTTTTGTAATTAAAAAGAACAATAACATCAGAATCTTTTTACCAATATTTCGAAAAGCAGTGCATTTTTCTGTTCCGTATCGGTCTGCTTTAGATGAAATCGAAGATACTAAAACAGAGTGATGGATAATTATGATGTCATTTTTAAAGTTTGGTACAAATGCCACCAAATTCGAAAGGAAAGTGTTAACGATGAATATTTACATAATTAAAATGGGACATGACATATCGTGTGTCCTATCACGATTACTGATACGAGTTTCCAGTATTCTATATAGCATGTCTACTATGGCATTTTCTCGGAATTTATTGCTTTGAGTGCATGTTGACGGATATTGCGGTCAGAATTGAAATGATTAATTCGTATTAGTGACTGAAGATGGAAAATTATAATAACCTTTATAAGATCGATATCAGAAAAGAAATCATATGCTGGATCAAATGCCGAACCATTCATTTTCTTTCGTTTACTAGTTGATAATGAGCAATCACCTAACGATGAACACATAGCCGACGTTGAAGCCTTATTCGCGCTGCGTGATCTGCGTCCATCCATTAAACGTACTGAAATATAAGAAGTGATCAAAGCATGCAAAAAAAGTACCATATGAAAGAAACGCTACCGTTAAGCGACGTCAGCCCAACACATAGCCGACGCTGAAGCATCCAAATCGTCATGAACTAGTAGCTCCCATCATCAACCAGCACTGATTGTTGAAAAACTCGGAACATTTCATGTAAATTTATGCTAATGAAATCATACTTTAATACCTTGTTAAGCTGTACCTTTCATTGCGTTCCGTAAACGATGTTGTCGGATTTTTGAATGTTACTTAATTTTCATGTTAAACTCATAAAATCCTTCACATCTCAACAGAAATGCAGTGATACCCATACAGAAAAGTGAGAAACAAACCTGAGTTACTACAAAATAGAATAGACCGCAGTATGCTGCGGTGATACCTTGCCGGAGGGGTGTCATTCGTCGAGAATGGTTAGAGATTGATGAGTCTTCAGGTTCTCGGGAATACCGCACAGGATTATGAGGTAAGGTTTCTCTTTCAAGTAACTTATGAGTCTCTTCTGTTTCACGGTGTTATAGGGATAATGTAATAAGCCTGAACAAAACCTTTTGTGGGTTTTATTAGTTTTGCTCATATTTTCGACTACTTTAGTGATCCTCCGTAATCCTGTGTGCTGAAATATAATATATGCCGAGATATCCCTAACCTTTACTTAATAAAGAAGAATCTTAAATTTACATCTTGCAGTTTTCATAAACCACACATTTAATAAGGCTTTATTCTTAAAAAATATCCAGATCAAGCTTTAATACGCTGGCAGATTTTTACATAACGACCTCAAAATACCTTTTTTTTTTCTACACGTATTCCTTTCCTTCTTTATGGTAGGTCGAGAAGTCAGTAGCTACCGATGATCACACAAGAGCAACCGAATGCGCAAGAAACAAAAGTGAACAATAACTCCAAAAACTTTGTTTTATCAGATTAACGAATTAACTTGCAAATTAACTTCCATATCATCGAAGAAATTAGCATATAATCACATCTGATGCTATTTCTTAGTAACCTGACTGTCAGTCCAAGAAATCATCTGATTATGAATGAAGGAAATAAACAATTAGTTCTTCGTTAGCGCCGACCCACTCTTCACTGTTAGACTAATTTCGTGTAAATGATCACCTTTCAGAGTGGTGATTATTGGTGAATAATCTTGATTTGTTCAAATATTTGTAAAATATTGGGGAATAGGAAAAAGCAGTTCCATAAAGCAATGCATTTAATCGGATTTTATTTTAAAAATAACCAGGTGAAGCTTCAAACGCATCGTTTCATAGCGGGTATTGCAATTGGAGGAGTGTTGACTGGATGCATTGGTTGTATGGTTACTGTTGAAATTCTTACAAAGTATCTTATTTATCTATAATCATACAATAACTCAAAATTATCAAGAATAATTTAAGATAAATAAAAAGAAGTCTTCTTATTGCACAAAAATGCTTCGATAATTCAAAAAAAGATTTTAAGGGGTAGTCCGGAATGTATGAATTTGCTAACTTGTTCAACATTCATTTTTGTATCATTTATTGGCTTTCTCAAACAGTCGCATTACTTCAAGCAGTTATCACGAAGCAGAGCGCCGTTGTTACGGTTACTTTTCCATTTTTCAAAAATTGATAAGCTTTGTTAGGGACCTTATTCGTAAATGATCTAAGCAGCAAAAATCTCATTGTTTGCACCCTTAAATTTTTTTCAAAATGGCTAAACAGTTTTAGTGATATATTTTAGAGGTTATGCACGCATTGTTTTTATGTTCTTTGTGTGAATGTTTCAAACAATTTGGCATTGCGATATAATGTTTCCATACCGCTATTTATCGTATTCCGTTCGATAAGTTTTTTTTTTTTTTTTTTTATTTCGTTTTCTACCCATTCCGATAACCGGCCTCAAAGAGAACGGTCTCGTTATTTTTCGTCAAATATCATCGATTAATGTTTTTAAAGTGCATTTATGAAAAATAGGAATGAAAACTCTTGATATGTTTGATCTGTTTTGCTTTCCAGCACAAGTTTAACATTACTGATTACAAAGACATGCTTACTAGCTTTTGAAATATGTTCACTTAAGTTTTAGCAGTACATGAAAAGCGTAACTGTAAACCATGAGGTGATATTTGGTGGCTAATGATGTAGACTTGTTTCGGAATGACGTTATATTATTTTAGCATACAAAGTCCAAGCCATTTGTTATATGTAAAACATGCTCTGGTAACCCGATAAGATTTAATGGAAGTTAATGATTGAACATTTCGGTTTGACTAAATAGTAATTATCTTTCGTCCCACGCTTTTTTTTTGTTACTTTATATGTTTCACTTCCAACTTATGTGGATCTTTAAAGATGCTACCAAAACTATTTTCACAAGTTATAGTTAATGTTCCTTTGGTTAATGATGGTCTGTTGTGCAGAGAACATTGCTTGCAAATGTGTTGCTGGGTTTCTGTTTGAGGGACTGAATTTGTTCTTTGGGAAAGCTCTTGTCAATCATGTTCGTTAGCGTGGATGTTGTACTTTTCACATTAGCTGATCAGTTTTCGAAATATCACATAATAGAAAAGGATGGAAAAAGTGTACATTCATTATCTATTTTGCATTTCAATCCAGGTTCTATTTGTTTCTTGTTTGTGTTAAAGTACTTATTCGCTAAAAAGATATTGTTTGGAACTTAACGATTTTATTATTTGAACTTTTGTCCTGAATATAAACTGTAATTGTCTAGGATTATTATAAGATCAATGAGGCAATTCCTTGAGCATTAGCTTTTGAGAATTTCATTTTGGATTGAATGCATCAGTAATTTCGGAAGCATGTGAAAATGGATTCCAATTAGAGTAGAAATCAGCGAGTATTCTCTCTAGCTTGCTGGTGGAAACAGTAGTGCAACCCATCTTATCCACAGTTCCAGCTTATCCATCGTTTCTGTTCTACAAAATTTCAACAGTCTATGTTGTCTGTCTTTTACTGATTGGCTTTTTGTTTCAGGAAGACTTTTATTAATGTTTGCAACTCTCTTGTCTGCTTATCTAGGCATATGTCAAGAAGATCTGTATTGTACATATGGGAATCATTCACGGGAAGCAATATTTTTTATTGTAAGTCTAATGTGTTCGTATTGTTTTTATTTATGCTGTTATCAGTAGGTTTATCCTAATTTTTCTGAAAATAAAACTTCCACACAGAAAATTTCGCAGCATTTTTTTTATCATTACCGGGCTTTTTTTTTTACAATGATATCTGACAAGCTCTAGTCCATTTTAACAATTCGGATGTTTTCTTCATTTTTGGATACGTTTTCCTCTTCTTTTATTGTGGATTTATATGGTTTTGAACTGCATATTCCAGTGAGCAGTTTTTTTCTTCTTTTTATCGTCCTCAACTGTAATGGTAGATTGACATGAATACTTATTTGTTTAACCATATATTATTCAAGAATAATATAGTCCGAAATGTCAAGAGCTCCAGTTTTAATGTTTTTAATCCATCATTTATATTTTCTAGGTTAATATAATTTTGCTATTCACAATTATAAGTTATGTTCTCAAAGCGAAGCTATTAAGATGCTGTGATGGATGAGACTCCTAACAAAACAAAAAAAGAAATAAGTGTTGGGATACTCTCTGTGGTTAATTAGCAATCAGTTTTCTATTTTTGAACCAAATTCTTTAACGGCATAGATAATTATTCTAAAAACCGGAAATGTTAACGAATTGCAGATGGATATGTATTACGAATGTGCATACACTTATTTCGCTGACTACATCGCCAAATGTTGCAATGGTTATAACGCTAAGGAAATTCTTATTGATGGTTCTTTCAGTTATTTTATTCAAAAACCCATTTACATTTACGCATTGTATAGGCTGTCTCCTTGTATTACGGTACCATAGCGTCCACTTTATGCGATTTCAAATTTAAATTTTCACGGAAGAAAAGTGTGTAGATATATGTGGATAGGTTATAACAGATTTTATACAATTCTTAGGTGAAAATATGGTTAAAAATATTGTAAAAGAACCTCTACTGTAAGCATATTTCTGATATATTTGTGATTTCTCTGCTAGCACTTTCTGAATTATTACCACAGGAATAAATAGTATATTCTAGCTTTGTCTTTTGGCCCCGTTTTCTTTTATTCAAGTTTTGTTATAGTTTCTTCTTTCTATGCATTTGTACAATGTTCATAAGCTTTTATTACTAATGAAATTAATTCCTGTTCTCGTTATTGTAAAAGTTGCCTTTCTCTTGTGATGTTTCGTTTTGGAATCGTCAATTTTAACCAAAAAACCAAAAAAAAAAAAAAATTTCATTGATCTGATTCCAGAATATAAGTTGAACAAGCATAATGAGCATTGATAAAATAAGCAAAAACAGGAAATGCTAATAAAGCAACTGCTTACTTTGAAAGAAGTAATCTGTTGGGTCATTTACACAGTGGGCACAAAATTTGGTTTGTTTTGTGTATCCATAAACGCGACATGGTCGCATCTACTTTAAAAAACTTCGAATTTTTTTACAAATTGATACACTGATTATGTCAAGACACAGTTTGTTTGTCATTTATTACTATTTTGTTACTATATTTTAAATATAGAAGTATAGGAGTTTCTTTTTTATTTTTATCATCTGTTATTGATTGTCTCGCAAGGAAAAGATTACGTCTCGTTATTTCTTTTGAACAAATGAGGATTTTCCAGTACAGCATGATCAGATTAGAAATGCTGTCTGCATACTTGTTCACACTAACTTTTCAAACAAAATGAGAACAAATCTCAGTATATCATTCCAGAGATTTTTATTCCCCTTCCCTATTTTTATTTCATGCGAAGTTTTATAGACGTTTTTTATGTTCGAAACTGCGGGGATAACTTACTTTTTTTGCCTCTTTTGTACTGGTCGCCATTTCGAATTTTGGAATATTTTTCAAAATGTTCCAGTGAATGAAAGAGTTCTACATGGGTTCACTTACAATGAGGAGGGCATAATAAAAATCTCAAATGACTGGTCATTTATCTGTTTATATTAGCTCTTAAATTTTACTTAAAAGGAATTGAAATAAGAGTTTTGGGAAATACTACTTCTAAAGGCAAGGAAGGGTGAGGTTGCCTTTTTTTTGGTTACAATTTTTATTGCAGAATACATTGTGCATGTTGTGCCATATGAAATAATATGTCAGCTTTGGTCATAGTTCTACAAACATTTAATGCCTTCATTCTGTTACATATTCAGTGTGCATTTATTATGTTTTTTGTTTCCAAAAATTTCTGAGTTTATAATGCTGATGTTTTGATGAAGTACCAACTTTCCACTGAAAATAGTAAAGTTTTCTAGGGCTTTTATTGGACAAAAATGAGTAACAGAATTAATAAGTCAAATGCTATTACGTAGAACTGGATTTATTATTTATTCAGTTATTGTTACCGTACTCTTAGCTGAATAAACAGAAAATCCGAGATTTACTGAACAACACTGTTCCCATATTCGTGGAATCATTAATTAGAATGACCAAAACATGATAGAGGTGTTTTATCACTCGTGTAATTGAGATTTAGTTGGCTGTGATTTGTTCCATTTCCCACAAGAACTTTACAAGTTTTAAACGATTTTGTGATCGTAAATAAATAATTGAAATTACTGAATAATGACATTTACGCAGCAAGTTGATATGCGTTATCACTTTGCTTATGGAATATGTAAAAGTAAATGTCATTTTTTGCACTGTTATCTAATAATAATGTTTAAAATCATTTCCAGAACATTTCATGCCAAAAATGTTCTTTTTGCTAAACTAATTATGAAGTTTTTGTAAATATTTACTGATGCAGGAATAATTTTCCTCGCGTTCCTTCCCTCTTTCCTCAAAAAAAAAAATTTCATCAATTGAAGGAATATGTCGCAAATAGGTAGAGAAAGCTGCTGTAGTCGATAATTAGGCGTGAGATTGTATTTGTTTGAATCCATTCTACTATCCTCTTTTCCATCTTACTCATCTCCAAAAACATTGAAAAGATCGAGGAAGATGCACATTTAGACTTTTGAAAGCAGTGTTTTGTATTTTCTGACTCTTATTTACACGTCGAAAAGATAAATTTCAACTTCTTCTACATTTAGGCTCTTCTAATTTCCACAAACTTCCCTGGTTTGTTATTTACACTGAATAACAATATGTTGTGTAAAATTTTTGTTTCAGTGGTTGAAGTTTATTTTTTTTTTCCATGTTGTAAAACAAATAAGTGAAAACTTAGGCTTACTTTTAATTATACCAAACATTTCCAGCAGTTCTGACAGATCCAACTTAGTGATTCTAGAATGAACTTTAAAATTGTGTTAGTTTCTTCTAATCTAGTCATCCAGGAATGAGGAAGTTGCTTAAAATAGTTATATATTAACTTAGACTGATTTGTGATAACATTTGAAAATGGTCGTAGGGTACGGAAGTTTCGGTTGGTGTTCCTCATAACCTCTTCTATTTAAAGTTGGGAGAAAATAGTTTTATTTTTTCCATTTGCTCAAATATTGATTTGATAATCGGACAATGAATGAATAACTACATGGGAGTCAGTTGAAATTTGGATAATATAGATCCGGCTAATTATCAACCGTTATCACTAAAATTCAAGCAGTTAGTTTTATATCTGTGTTTCAATTATCAAATCAGCAATTTCAGTGTGAATAATAATGTTCTATATTATTTAGAAGGATGGAAATTCATCTTTTACAATAATATCAAGTGATTTTATTCATTTTCATTGCTTACTGAAGTTACAAAAATGTTATATGCTCGAAAATTCTCAACAAATGAAGCATAAAACCTTTTAATGATTTCCTCTGTATTTTTACGAGTATTGTTAGCAAGAAATGTTAATGTATTAGTATGATATAAATTACATCTACAGATATTTCGTGAAAAATAACAGAAATTTTTCCTATGGGAAAGGAAAAGAACCTGAATATTGATTTCTCCAAAATTTTTCGGATGTAGAAATGATTCCCGAAATATCACCTTGTTTTCAGTATTTTCTTCGGTCGATTCAGAACCATTTTTTTCTTTTGTCTTAGCTTAAATATTTTATTATGACGATTAATGCAACGAAAATGAATACAGAGACGCAAGAAAACTGTCTTGGTAATAGGAGTTCAATGAAGACTATTTCTGAAGTGGAAAGATACAAATGTCGGGCACGGAAAATTGCTTTAATTACTGGAATATCGGGACAGGTAGTCATTTTATTCTTTATCTCATTTCAGCTTTATATATACAATTTTGTTGGATAAAAAATCGATTAAGATCCTTTGCAGGGATATATGAGATTCATTAATTGCTATTTTTTTAGTAGGCAGCTATCCAATAGTACTGTTTTAGGGTTATCTTTTTGTAATCATTATATTGAATAATTGGTTTAAAATGATTGTATTTGATATGAATTATCAAATATAATAAGTAGTAATCAGTTCTGTTCATGACGTTCTTTTAATTATCTTAGGACGGTTCCTATCTTGCCGAATTGTTGTTGTCGAAAGGTTATGAAGTGCATGGAATTATCCGACGATCGTCATCCTTCAACACAGCCCGCATAGAGCATTTGTATTCAAATCCAGTAACTCATCATGCCGACTCCAGCTTCACGCTCCATTATGGTGATATGACAGATTCATCCTGCCTGATTAAAATTGTCAGTCAGATTCAACCAACAGAAGTGTATCACTTGGCTGCTCAAAGTCATGTCAAGGTTTATTTCTTGAAAATTCTTTCCCTTAATTTTTTAGTTGTTTGCATTTCTGAAGATTTAATACATTTGACATGTATTTGAAATATATGATATATATTTCAAATACGTCATTTTTTGTCTGACGGTTGATGATGGATGTTATAGGTATCTTTTGACTTGCCAGAATATACAGCTGAAGTTGATGCTGTTGGAACGCTGCGTTTACTGGATTCCATTCATGCCTGTGGTTTAACTAATAAAGTAAAATTCTATCAAGCCTCAACATCCGAATTGTATGGTAAAGTACAAGAAGTGCCTCAAAAAGAAACTACACCGTTCTATCCTCGTTCACCTTACGGTATGTTCTATTTAATATATTTGATAATTATCGGAAGAAAGTTTATCACATCTTGTCGTTCTAGAACTATTTTAAATCAGTTTTTTGATAACTTCCTTTTCTTCAATGATAATATTCATCGATATCGTAGTTAGGACAAATGAGAGAATTTTAACTGATCGCTATCCTATTTAAGGAATTTGTATATGGTAGAATACTATATTTGGCTGATTATTAGTTGGTAATTGAACAACTGAAATAATCTCGATCTTTAATTTTTTTCTTTTTGATTACAGCTGCCGCGAAGCTTTATAGCTACTGGATTGTGGTCAATTATCGTGAAGCATACAGCATGTTCGCTTGCAATGGAATTTTATTCAATCATGAAAGCCCACGACGAGGTAACTTTCCCTTTCTGTTTGCACTGCTCATATTATCAGTCAATAAAAATGCCATGTGTACAGGCGAGACATTCGTTACACGGAAGATCACGAGAGCAGTTGCAAAAATTGCCTTAGGGCAGCAAGAAGTATTGGAATTGGGAAATTTGAGCTCCAGTCGTGATTGGGGACACGCCAAAGAGTATGTCGAGGTTAGTGTTCCTATAGTTGCATCCCGCAGTTTTATCAACCAATAAAACAATGTATGTGTTAAACATTACTGTCAGATCTCACCACAGAGTATGTTCGTGATGATCAGTGACAGCTGTCCAGAGATACGTAATCAATTTTAACACCGAATTTCACGTGTAGTTCTGATATGCAGGCCATGTGGAGAATATTACAATATGATAAGCCTGATGATTTTGTTATTGCAACGGGGAAGAGCTATACTGTTCGCCGAT